TCTCTCCTGAAGGTCCAGTGATTGCTCTGGAGCTAAATGGCGTTGGTGTGGTGGAAGCCTGTAAGAACATCGCCAACGAGGTCTTCAGTGGCACCAAGGTACGACACATCAGACAGGAAGTTAGGGCACCAGAAGATCCCAGTCTCCTCTGGATCTGGAGGTGTTCTTCAGACACCAGATGGTCCAATCAGAACTCATTTCAACATCAATCCAAATAATTTCCATGAGTGAAAAAACCTTAAGCTGCTTCATCTGACCTGAACTCAGGAGTCAGATGTTCTGAGAATATTCTTTTTTCTCTCTGTTCTGCAGGTGTTTGTGTCTGAAAACAAAAACACTTCGTCTCGAGATGTGGACAACTTTTTCAACTTTGCTGACATGCAAATGGGCCTGTGACCAAACCAACACTTTATTTACCTCTGTTCAACTTCTACAAGAACTCAGTTAAAGCTAAAGGAACAGTTCAGGCTTTATTCTCGTGTCAGTGCCACCTGCATCTGGAAACAGCCTCAAAACCAACAGCGGAAAGAGCGGGCTATTAAAAATATTTCACACAATGAGATGGAAGCAGCAGCAGTAGAAACAAAAGTAGCTTGTCCATGTGAGCTAAAATCACTGATTTTCTCTATGGACTTTGGTCTGAGCCAAATTCTTTTGTCAAGATTTTAGACAAAACATTTTAGCCTCCTGAGTCTCAGGGTTTTTGTAACAGTGGGGGTGGGGTTGGGTTGGAGGGGGCTCCTCTGACAGGGCAAAAACGCCTGACGCGTTCCTTAGAAGACTAGAACAATCCAACATGTTCTGTTTGAGCCTGTGAATTCGCTTCAGCTGCTGTGAATATTTGAATGTATTTGAGTTGATGTTTATGATTTGTTTTATGTTGTTTTTTTTCCTGGACAATGAAAGTAGAAATTTTAACGGCCATTTTTAAAACACAGTTTTTTGTGTCTAAGATGAAAAATGGTTCAATTTATAAATGTTTGTTTGGGTGAGTGTGAACATGCTGTCGATGTTAAAAAAAAAGTGCAGAGTCATGGATGTAGATGCTGTAGAAGAGTCACGTGGTTACTGGGGCTTTCATACCAAACTATTTTTAAAGTGTTTTTTTTTTTTTTATATTAGAACTGTTTTGTAGAGGAAACAATGAAATGTGTATCGTTTTTTAGTAAAAGTGTCATTTTGTTTGACTTTGTTCACCTGGTTCTCCCATCTTTTTAAACTTTAAAAGTCAGGTTCAAATGCAACAGAAGGCGCTGCAGTCATTTTAATATTAGCTTGTTGTATTTGTTGTGTTTAACAAAGTTAGGCTAAAAATAACGTAAAGATGACAGGAATAAGCTAAAGGTAACATAAAAGATTTATTTTATTTATAAAGAGGTTAAAATGTTGATAAAATATGACTTAATATTTTATCAAACCAGAGCAAAACAGCTAAAGAAAATGACAAAAAAAGTGGAAAAATTAAACTAAATGTTAGCCCGTAAGTTCCCAAAAGATGCCCGACAAACTAATCTAATTACTTTCGCCTTCCTGTCCCCGCCCGTGTAAGAGTATGGCGGTGTACGTCTTGGTTGAAATGAAGCGCCCTCAGAAGAGTGGGCGGGAGTTAGGACCCAGCAGCGCCGCGGTGTAAAGAACTGTTGTCTGGAGGAAAAGCGGGACGTAGGGAGGCAAAGGTAGGGATTTTATTCAAATTACCAGAATATCATCAATAAATACGCAGCCGGTTCTATTGTACTGAGCCCTCGGTTCTGGTTGTGTATTTGGACTAACGAAAGAAGTAGAACGGAGGTAAGATGGAGGAGAAAGACGGGAGGAGTGCAGGAACAATGATTCCGGTCTTTTAACACACACACACACACAGACACACAGGTGGTTCTACTGGTGACTTCGGCTCTTCTGGGTGATGGTGTGAATCCAGTGAAACACCGTCATCGACGTTGAATTAGACCTCGTTAATCTGAGCTTTGAGTCTGAATAGACTTAGACGTAACTCCACAGTCAACTGTCGGCATTCAGGGATGGAGCCGCCATCTTGGTTCCTGCTCCAGGCCTCAGCTCTGAGCGGTTGGCGCCAACCGCGAGGATGTGAACAAACACGATGTTATCGCGTTAACTTCTCCAAAGTGAAACGTTTAACTAACTGTTGTTGCCCTTTTAGTAAACAACAACAGGAACCACAAACAGGTTCATGTACGTGTTTGGTCGGGGAGTAAATACCAGAACTGATCTGCTTTGTCACCCCATGAACAAGGACCTGGTGCAAGATGATGCTGTACCAGATACGTTTCCATGGTACTAACCAAGTAACAGAGCCCACAGCTGTATGTGTTTTCACTCTGGGACTAGTACCAGAGAATGGGATGGAACCCATCAAGTATAAGGAACAGTACCAGGGACTGTACAGATGTTGCAGTGATGTTTGTCAAAGTTTTAGAACTGTTTTATAGAATTGCAGACTACAAAAAGATGACTGTCTATCCTATAGCTTCTACAAGCACAAAAAACAAAGAAGTACAATATAAACACAAGTAGACACACAGGGGGAGAAGATGACAAAAATGGCCATCTACTCTACTAGTCTACTAGTAATGGCTGTTGAATGCTCCTATAGTATGAAAACAAGGGATTCAAAACTATGAATGGAACCTTTCAAGGTGGATGGGATTTTGTGCAGTTTTAAGAGCGACATTGTGTCTATGATCCTGAGGGTGGTGCTGTTGGTCGCTTCCATATCTGACGTCTGGTGGGAAGAGGAGTGAATGCTATGACAATGTGGAATTTGTGGAAAAACATAGAAGTGAACGGATTTTATGGGAGAGAGATGAAATTCACACATTGTTGAACAGATGTGCTCCCAGAATGCTCTGGGGTGTGAGCAGGACATGTAGGATATGATCAGTGGGTTGACTTTTACACCCAAGACAAGAAATAGTTGTTAGTTTAGCACAAGGGGCCTTCACTGTTATCTTCTCACCCTTTGACCTTCCGTCCTGCAGGATGTCACAGGATGAAACGTCTCCACTTGTCCAGCACCAGTGACACGTCAGACGAGGACAGTGAGTCTGATCTGAACCCCCAACCTCTGATTGGTTTCTATATTTCAATTGTCTTCAAGTCAAAAATAAAAACACATTTCTGTTTCTGTGCTAAAGCTCCGTCCACGTCCTTCTGCTCATCACACAAATATGGCAGCAAACCTGAGAGTGCCTCCACCTCCCACCTGAAGAAACCCGCTGAGGTGAGCCGGGGCTGTGAGCATCTTAGCTGAGGCTAAAATTCACTGCTCCACCCTCCTCTCCTTATATTCTGCTCCTCCTCTCCTCCTGCAGGTGTTCAGGAAAGACCTGATCAGTGCCATGAAGCTCCCAGACTCCCACCACGTGTCTCCAGACGACTACTTCCTGTTGGCCGACACCTGGAAGCAGGACTGGGAGAAAGGAGTCCAGGTTCCGGCAAGTCCAGACATGATGCCACAGCCCTCAGTCAGGTAGTCCACGTTTTGGTTTTACTTGAACCTGTAGACAGTCACTCCTAAACTGACAAGGTGTCTCACTGTCCTGGGTCTTCAGGATCATCACAGACCAGTCTCAGGAGACCCTGAAGACACTGCAGAAGAACTCCACCCTGCAGTCCACAGAACCAGGCTTCTTCAGCGTGAAAGAGTTGGCAGAGACCATGTGTCGCTACGACCTGGACGACATGGACCTACACTGGTTACACGCTCTCAACCAGGAACTGGACCACATGGGTGAGGAGCCAGATCCTGTCTTCAGGATACAGGTCTTAGAGCTCTTGGGGCCCTGAATCTGGATCAGGTCTGGTCTCAATCAGCACAGAGACCAGAGACAAGAACTGACTACAGTCATGTTGGACCATCAGAATAGTCTTTAGTGTTTTTTTATGATGTCATCGTTATCCTGGTCAGGGGCATCACCTGACTCTTTGTCCTCACTTTTCTTTCAGGGGAGCAGCCTGTAGATGAGCTGACAATGGAGCGAACCATGGAGGCGCTGGAGCGTCAGTGTCACCAGAACACAAAGCACGCAATCGAGACAGTGGAAGGTCTGGGCATCGAGTATGACGAGGACGTGATCTGTGATGTGTGTCGTTCTCCTGATAGCGAAGAAGGAAACGACATGGTTTTCTGTGACAAGTGCAACATCTGTGTCCACCAGGTAGCCAGCACACCCTTGTGTTAGCTCCACAAATGTTAGCCTGTGTTAACACAATATATGTTAGCATGTGTTAGCTCGACAAATGGTAGCCTGTGTTTGCTCGAAATGTGTTGGCTTGACTTATTAGTGCCTTTGTTATCTCGAAAATGTTAGCCTAGTTTAGCTGAGTCTAAAGCAGAAATGTTCCTTGTCATGTTTCACTTGTCCTATTATCATGTTTGCTGGGATTTTTGTCACTGCTGCCCCCCACAGGCCTGTTATGGCATCGTCAAAGTTCCTGTGGGAAACTGGCTCTGTCGGACTTGTGTCCTGGGCATCGAACCCCAGTGTCTTCTGTGCCCCCAGAAGGGTGGTGCCATGAAGGCCACGCGTGCAGGAACTAAGTGGGCCCATGTGAGCTGTGCTCTGTGGATACCAGAGGTAAGAACCAGGACTGTGTGGTCCAGAATCAGTCTCAATCAATCAATCTCTTCTGGTCTTCTCCTCAGACTGGCCCCACCCCGTACTGTCCTTGTCTGTCTGCAGGTGAGCATCGCCTGCCCTGAGAGGATGGAGCCCATCACCAAGGTCTCCCACATCCCCCCCAGTCGCTGGTCTCTGATCTGCAGTCTGTGTAAACTCAAGACTGGGGCCTGTATCCAGGTAGGTCCAGACTCTGGATTGGACTTTGCTGAACTAGAACATTCAGTTGATTGTAGACCAGTCTAGAACAGAACCAGGAACCTGTTTCCCACCTAGTGGACCTTTAACTCCCTGATCTCCATCTCTAACCCTAGTTTCAGGGCTAGATCAGGACGGTGGGGGCACGGGGGAGTGTACCACTGCACTCTCCCATCATCATGATGAGGTTGTGAATGTTGAGTTCTCACCTCCATCACCATGTGTCCTCTGTGTGTCCACCAGTGCTCGGTGAAGAACTGCACCACTCCCTTCCACGTTACCTGTGCCTTTGAACATAACCTGGACATGAAGACCATCCTGGACGAAGGGGATGAGGTCAAGTTCAAGTCCTACTGTCTGAAACATAGCAGGTCCAACCAGGGAGAGCTGCCTCTGAGTCCAGCGCGCTCTAAAGCTCCGGCGGAGAAGGTCGGCCAACGAGCTCAGAGGCTGAAGGAGCTGGAGGAGGACTTCTGTTCCCTCATCCACCTGGAGCAGCTGGCAGGAGGCGTGAAGCTTTCCCAGCACTTGGTCGACTTCATCTACCAGTACTGGAAACTCAAGAGGAAAAGTAACTTTAACAGAGCTCTGCTGCCACCTAAGGAAGGGGAGGAGACACTGGAGCCTCTGCCTCAGGAGGACAGCGTCCAGACACGCATGCGTATGTTTATGCACCTGAGACAAGATCTGGAGAGGGTGAGATTCTCCTGAGCTCATTGGTTCTTTATTTAATATACGCTGATGTGTTCTGTACTAGCAAGTGGGCACTTCCTTCAGGTCAAATCCGCAGACCTGACTGTAGCTCACATGGGTTAAATCTGGCCCGCGGTCAAATTTTATTGGCCCGTGAGATCATATCAAATGTGTACTAGAGTTGGCCCCCCAGTATATAGACTCTGTGTACTGGCAGGATTCGTAGTATCAGCGGTGTGTGCACTATGTTATAGCACTTTCTTTTTGTTGTTGGGCTATAAAAACACGTTTGACTTGAAGCTGGTTTTGTTTCTTCTTCTTCAGGTGAGGAACTTGTGTTACATGGTGAGTCGCCGTGAAAAGCTGAAGCTTCTGCAGAGCAAAGCTCAGGAGCAGATGTTCAACCTTCATGTGAAGCTGATGAACCAGGAAGAGTCTGCAGGTGAGACACTCTCTGTTGGACCTGTGACTGGTTGTAGCTCCAATGTTGAACAACGTGGTCACCTCAGAGCCTGTGGGAGATGTTGGCTTGACTGGAGAGCTTGAGAAGATCACTGACATGATTGTGTCTACTGAGCTGAGGAAACATCTCATGAAGTTCAACCGCATCCTCTGTTCTCCTTCTTAGAGTTGGAGACAGAGAACTGTTGTGGACCCCATGGTCTGTCCTTAGTGATGATGATGATGATGATGATGATGGTTGTTGTTGAGGGGTCTGCTCTGGTGGACCTTCTCACAGAATCATCTGTGGTTCTTTAGCTCTTTCAGAAGCCTTATCTCGATGAAGGTCTGTCTGGTGATTGGATAGTGGAACCAGGTGTGCACCAGATAGTACTTCTGGTGTCTGGGATGTGACCCTCTGATTCTGGTCTTCTCTTCTCAGGTCTTCCTGCATCCTTCCCAGTGGAGAAGACACTCT